CCCCCGCAGCCCCCCCCCCCCGCGGGATTTACCGGGAAAAGCGGCTGAGCCGCAGGGCACGAGGGGGGGGCACATGGAGGAACCCGTGGGTGTGGGGACACGGAGACACGGGGAACAATGGGGGACACGGGGTCACGGGGACAGGGGGGACAAGGGGGACATTGGAGACATGGGGGATATGAGGGGCATGGGGGACATGAGGGACATGGGGGACAGAACTGGGAGAAACACGACGTTATTGAGGGGCACAGGGGGCACGAGACGGGGGGACACAGGGAATGTGGGGGACATGGAGGGGACACAATTGGGGGACACATGGGATTATGGGGACATGGAGAGACATAGGGATAGGAGGGGACACGGAGTTATGGGGACGTAGGGGGACAGGGGGGGACACGATGGGGGACACAAGGGGGGGAACATGAATGGGGGAGACACGGAGGGGGACGGGGGACAAACGTTGGGGGAACACGAGTGAGGCAGACGTGGGGGGATACACGGGAGGGCACATGGAGGGGGAGACATGGGGGAACACGGGGGGGTACAGGGACCCCCGGGGGGTCCCGGCGCGGTGGGGGCGGGGCCAGATCCGCACAAAGGGGCCGTTGAGGCGCCGGTGGGGGGGAGGGGCAGGGGAGGAATTTCCACCCAAAACTTTTTCCATGAGCCCATTCCCGCCCCTCCCTCCATCCCTGCCCCTCCCCCACTCCAACCCCTCCCCAGCCCGTGGGGGCTCCGAGGGGAAACTGAAGCACGAGGGGGGGGGGTATTCGCATGTGTGTGGGGGGACACGTGTGTCAGCGTGGGGGGATGTCCTCACGTGTCCTCCCGCCCTGACACGCTTGTGCAGGTCCCTGTTGACACACACACGTGTGCAGTGACACGTGTCCAGGTGTGTTCCATGTGCAGGAACACGTGATTCCACATCCAGGTGTGTCACATGTGCAGTGTCACATGTCCAGGTGTGTCATATATGCAGTGACATGTGAGTCCATGTCCAGGTGTGTTTCATGTGCAAAGCCCCAGGAATGCAGCCTGGACACACCTGGACACGCCACGGGGTGGGAACACATGTGCAATCGCACACACAGTCGTGTTGCTGCCTCGGGACTGGCTCTGCTCGTGGGGGGAGTTGCACACCTGGGCACACCTGGACATGTATGTGCAGGGTCACACAAACCTGGACATATCTGTGTGCACCTGGACACGTGTGTAGGGTCACACACACCTGTGCACAGTCACACACGCACACCTGTGCACACCTGGACACACCCGGACACATGCGTAGGGTCACACACACCTGTGCACAGTCACACATCTGGGAGGACTGGGAGAGAATGGGGCAGTGACATGGACTGGGAGGACTGGGAGGGACTTGGGAGGTGACAGGGGCTGCGAGTATTGGGGAACTGGGAGGACTCGGAAGAAGAGTGGTGACATGAGGACTGAGAGGGACTGGGAGTGCACAGGATGGAACAAGGAGGGGACTGGGTAGGGGGTGACATGAGGACTGGGGTTACTGGGAGGGGCTGGAGGGAGTGACAGTGAGGATTGGGAGGACTGGGAAGGACTGGAGGAGGTGACACTGGGACTGGGAAAACTGGAAGGACTGGGAGGGACTATGCACAGGATGGAACTGGGAGGGGACTGGGAGGACTGGGAGGGGCTGGGGTGACAGAAGGGCGGGGCTGGGGGCGGGACGGGGCGGCCCCTCTCTCCTGGCGGCCGGGGTGTGTGTGTGACACGTGTGACACCGTGTGTGTGTGACACGAGTGACGTGTGTGACACGTGTGACACGTGTGTGCGCTACTCCGCGTGTGACTGCGGCCCCAGGCCCCGCCCACACATCCGAGCCCCGCCCTTCGCTCAGACCACGCCCCATCCGTATTCAGCCGCAACCACCGAGGCCCCGCCCCTCACTTAGACCAAACCCAATTCATCATCAGGTCACGCCCCTCAAAACCCTCCCCGCCCCTTCCCTTCCCATTCATCCCATCCCCTCGAGCCCCACCCTCTTTCAGGCCCCACCCCGTTGTAGACCCCGCCCCTTTCCCGTCTCCCAACTCACCCCCACCCATCAGCCCCCGCCCCTTCCCCGGGGGCGTGGCCGGGCCGCACCCGCCGGGGCCGAGCGGGGCCGGTCGGGGCCGATTGCGGCGGGGCGGGGGGGTGTTAGGGGGTGTCGGGGGGCTCCTGGGGGTCCTGAGGGGCTCAGGAGGACCATGTTCGACTGCCTGGAGGCGGCGGCGGCACCGCGGCGGCTCCACGACGTGACCAACCGGGGGGGCTGCGCCCTCCGCAGGGTCCTGGTGCCCGCGGGCTGCGGGACCCCCGCCCGCAGAGGTATCGGGGGGGCACGGGGGGGACACGAGGGTGAGGAGGTTGAGGGAGGAATGCAGCGCGGGAAGGGCCCTGGGCGAGGAGGGGGGGGCAGATGCGCGAGTGGGTGTGGGGGCGAGGGAGGGCGGGGAGGCGTCTGTGAGCTTGAGTTTGAGTGTGCAAATGAGTGTGAGAATGAGTGCGAGAGCGACGGGGAGCGGGGGGTCGGTGTGTGCGGGGGGGGTCGGTGGGTTCGTGGTCCGCGAGTGGGTGTGGGGGAGTGAAAAAGAGTCTCTGAGTGTGCAAATGAGTGTGAGAGCGACTGGGAGTGTGCGAGGAGCGGGAGGAGTCGGTGGGTCGGGGGGGGGGTCGGTGAGTCCGTGGTCCGTGTGTGGGAGTCTCTTAGTGTGATCCTGAGTGTGCAAACGAGTGTGAGAGCGAGTGCGAGTGTGCGGGGAGCGAGGGGGGGGTCGGCGGGTGCGCGGGGGGGGCGTGTCCGTGTCCCCGAGTGGGTGCGGGGGTGTGGAAAGGGCTGCGGGCGTGGACGTGTCCGAGTGTGCAAATGCGCGTGCAAGGGGGGCCTCAGGCGACCCGAGGGGGTCGGGGGACACCCCGCGTGGGTGCCGGGGGGGCCTGGTGAGTGACGCCCCTGGGTGCGGGACCGACCCGGGTATGTGCGGGAGTGACGTGAGAGGTGTGGAAAATGGGGAGGGGGGGCGAGTGGGGGCGTGTGAGCGCGAGGGGAGTGAATGGGGTGTGGGACCTCCAATTCTTACCCCCCCCCGAGGGAGCCAGGGAGTGAGGGGGGGCGGTTTTGGGGGACCCCCTTCGGGGGGGGCGGGGTCCCAGACCCGATTTTGAGGATGTCCCGTTCGGGGGGGGGGGGGGGCATAGGGACGGGGAGAGCCCACTCGGGATCCCTTCTGGGGAGGTTTGGACTCGATTTGGAAGGTTGGAGGACCTGGACACTGTTTTTGGGGGGCTCAGGAGGCCCTAAACCCCGTTTTTTGGGGAGTCGCGGCGTCCCGGACCCCTTTGGGAGGGCGGAAATAGGGACCCGGGTTTTTGGGGGGAGCACAGAGACGTGAACCTCACTAAGGGGCCATTTGGAACTGCTGCTGGGGGGGGTTGGACTCGATTTGGGGAG